TATATATATATATATATATATATATATATATTATTGTATGAAAAATAAAAACAAGATATCAAAGTTACTTGTTCAGTTTTTTTTTATCTTGGGTGTAATATCTCGTTTTTATTTCTCATGATATAATGTTATCTATCTTTGTGCCGAAAAATGATTCAATATATTGAAAGATTTTATGTATAAGAAAAAAGTAATAGTTTTTAAACATATACTTTATTCCCATAAAAAAAATGTTTTAATTTTCATTCTTATAACTTTTTTGTACTTCTATAGTCTTTTAAGTTTTGAAATCATAGCTTTAACAATAACAAAAATTTGTTAATTTCCAAACTTATTAATTTGAAATCATTTTTGTCCCATTAACTAACTTTAAAACAAGAGTTATTATAATCCATCCTTTTTTTTCTAAACAAAAATCAATATTTATGTTTTCTAAAAGATATAATAATTAATTAATAGAAATAATAGGATTTTAATTTTAATTAGTAATATTATAAGTTTAAATTTTGTTTTAGAATTCATAGAATTATGTAGTTGAAGTGGTTGTTTATTTTACATAAGTCAAAGGAAAAGTTTTCTACCCCGATTGACTTGTATATGAATAAAAAAAAAAGTGACTTGTTTCCTGTAATAAATAAAAAAAGAATGTACCACTGGTTATTTTTCTTAAGAAAAACTATGGTTATTTTTGTTATTGTAAAAAAAACTATTGAAATTGAATTATTTGTAATTAAATAAGTTAAACCGAGCCTTTGGTGTTTAAAGTAAATCGATAATTACAATATTGAAGTTTTATTCTCTAGTCCTATGATATAGAAACAAAAATTTGGTATCTAAAATGAGTTTCAACCAATACTTAGTTTCTAGATTAAAAGGCTCATCTTTTAGATTACTTAATATAATTAATTAATTTGTTATATGTTGTTAATCTAGTTAATATTTCCTCAAAATGTTAGGATATTATTTTAATTCAATGATCTATGGTACATCTTTATCTATATAAACAGAATTATTTTTCATAATTTTCTATAATATTAAGTGTATACAATTTACTATTAATTTTATTTTAATTAATATAATTATTTTTAAAATTTTATATTATTTTTTTGTTACTATTTTTTAAAAATATATTTTTTTATAAATTTAATAGTAATAAAAATAATTAACTTTTTTTTATATTTTTATAATCAAAATAAAAGTGGACAAGCTCACAGAAGCACTCTTCACATGTATTTCAACCACTATATGATAATAATAATAATAATGTGATTCTTTTCATATTAAAAAAAATATAGGATACCGTACTGTAATTCTTTTTATTTGAAAATTATATAATGTTAGAATAGTTTGTTTTAAGTCCTATCACAACTATATTTTCTTTTATTTTAAAACTATCATTTATTTTGAAATTATATACATTAAATTTTAAATCGTTAGGTATATTTTGAACTTTTGTACATTGTTAAAGATTTTAGATTTTAAATAATGTTTTGTTAGTGTCCCTATAAATGTTTAATTTTATAGGTTTTAAGAGTTTTTTAAACTGTTACAATATTTTGTATCGTTTCATATATATAAAATAATGAATAATAATTTTTTAAACATATTATTTATTCTCATAAAACAAATATTTTAAATTTCTGTACTTGTTAATCTTTTTAAGTTTTAAAATCATTATTTTAATAATAATAACAGAAATTTGTTAACATCCAAGCTCACTAATTTGAAATCATTATTATTTCATTAACTAACTTTAAAAGAAAGTAAAGATAACAACTAAAAACATATCATCGGCCTTCCTGTTTTTTCCAAGACAAAATCCATATAGAGATTATAGTTAAGAGTATGTAACCACTAATAAGATAAAGATATAAGATTAACTAAAGAGTTAAGTAAACGTTTAGATCTCACCACAAAAATTGTTCTATATAAAGAGAGGTCATCTCTTCAAAATTCAGAAGAAAATTCAAATTCTACATACCTTGCCATGGCTTCGATGAAAGCTTTTGTGTTGAGTTTTTTTCTAAGTTTGTTGTTTTACAGTATCAATGGTGTTGAAGTGAGTCATGACGGAAGAGCCATCAAAATAGATGGAAAAAGGAGGGTTTTGATATCTGGATCAATTCACTATCCTAGAAGTACACCAGGGGTTGTTTAACACTTCAACATCATTCTTTATTTTCATCATGTCTAAGCATTATTCATATGATAATTATTTACTGACAATTTCTTTTTCATGAATGTTAGATGTGGCCTGATCTGATAAAGAAAGCAAAAGAAGGAGGGTTGGATGCTATTGAAACATACGTGTTTTGGAATGCATATGAACCTGTTCGTCGTCAATATGATTTTAGTGGCAGAAACGATCTCATTAGGTTTCTAAAGACCATTCAGGACGAAGGTCTTTATGCCGTTCTTCGTATTGGTCCCTATGTCTGTGCCGAATGGAATTATGGGTAATTAAATTCATCATCACTTTATTATATAATAACCTTTTTAACTAATTATGATATTTCATTTAATTAGAGGAATTCCTGTGTGGGTTTACAATCTACCTGGTGTCCACATTCGTACCTCAAATCAAGTATACATGGTACCATTTTATTTTTTTAAATATTTTTGGTTTTCTTTTTTACAGTTTATCATGTTTTTATCATAATTTTTTTAATTTATTTTGAATTGATAGAATGAAATGCAAAATTTCACTACTCTCATTGTGGACATGGTCAGAAAGGAGAAATTATTTGCCTCTCAAGGAGGTCCTATAATTATTTCTCAGGTATCGTATTCGTTCGTTTATGTTTTTTAATATACATATATTCTCTATTTTTGTCATATTATATTATATAAATCTTGTTAAAAGTGATTATATCAAGGTTTAT